TGGGCTGCACTAACATTTTTATATTGGATGAGATGTGATTTATCAAGAAAAGCTACCAAAATAAATTATATATGTATATATTATAATAAAGTATTTCAATCATTTAATCAAGGTTATAAACTCAAGAACACTATTCAACGAAACAAAAAATCGATCAATTGTTCAAAAAATTATTTTACAAATAAATTGTAAAATTGGAGGATCATTGTGGACCGTAAAAATACCCTTCAAGAATGTAATGATCTGTGGAATAGACTCTTATCATGATCCGAATCAAAAGGGTAACTCTGTGGCTGGTATGTTTTTATAATTATACTATAACTGAATTATCATGTCCATATTACCTGAGTTATTATTATAGCACTTGTAGCTTCTCTAAACGCATCCTATACACATTGGTATAGCAAAGCTGTAATTCAATCTAAAAAGGAAGAACTTGTTAATGGACTTACATCATCTTTTGAGGCTGCTCTAGAGAGCTATAAGACCCGAAATGGTCAGCTTCCAGACAAAGTAATTATTTACAGGTATGAATGAAATATTTGTAAACCCATTTTCAATAGGGAAATCAGCATATAATAAATAGTTTTGTTAAAATGTATGTAACAGACGGAATGAGGCGTCGCAGACCCCTTAAAGTATATATATTCCTAATCAGGGCAACGAGCTGAGTCAATTTAGCCGTATCTGTCAGCATGAACGCAATTTTTTCGACGTTTTTGCAGCTAGAGGCATGAAATTCGGTTCATATTCTGGGGTTGACCACCCAAGGTCTAAAAGCTATGGCGGATATTTCTTATCTCCTACAGTTTTAAAGCTATTAGGCTATCTGAAGGTATATTGATTTTTCAAAATCTGCTATATTTTAGGAACTCTTGATACTAGAGATTTGAGATTTTACCGGTACGTTCTAGATATAAATAATGTGTCTACGAAAATACTGTATTTTTTATGTATGTATGTAGAAACTCAATACATTGCCACTAAATTTCTGTTGGCATCCACTTTTATTTGCAGAAACAAAACATCATGCTATATCTATTTATACCCTGAACCCATTTTCAATGGGAAATCAGGGTATAATGGTTTTGTTGAAATGTATGTAACAGGCAGAAGGAGGCGTGGCAGACCCC